GGAAGAAGTGGAGGCAAAATTACAAGTAGAATGTCTGGCATGGTGGCTATGTAATCCTAGCATGTAGGATTATACCTATGTAATCCCAGCACTCTTGGGAGGCTGAGGCAGGATTTTTACTTGGGCTCAGGAGTTTGAGACCAGCCTGAGCAAGAGCAAGACCCTGATTCCCCCTAAAAACAGGAAAATTAGCCAGGTGTGATAACAGTGGCCTATAGTTCCAGCTATTCAGTAGGCTGAGGCAAGGGGATTGCTGGAAGCCAGAAGTTTAAGGTTGCTGTGAAGCTAGGCCAAGCCAAGGCACTCTAGCCTGGGTGACAAACTGAGACTGTCTCCAAAAAATAAAAAAGGAAAGTTTATTTGGGTCAAGCCCGGAGAGCTTACATTTAAGTTGCCCTGAATACACTCCAATCATCACAAATTTCAGCAATGTGGGGAAAATGAGTAAGGAACTTAGTAACAAACTGACTTTCTGCAGTTACCTCCAGGTAATTGCGTTTGAGGAGCTGTGGGACATGAATAAAGTCTCTGGCTCAAGTCTCTGTGGTCCTGATAAATATTGCACACCTCAAGTAGACTGCTCTTAACGGTTTTTTCTTTTCTCACCTAAAAACTATTTAAAGAAAAATATTAAGTAAACGATGGCGTAAAAATAGTGAACGCAACATAGAAATCGGGAACAAGTTGCATGACGTTTTGGGCAACATATTTAACCTCTTTGTGACCCAGCTTCAAAATGACATTTGTTTCGAAAGAGCTGATGCCTCCCGTCCCCACCGCACGGAGCTTGGCGCGCATGCTCCCTTCCTTCCGACTGCGCCGGGACACCCACCCAGAGCTCCGAGTTGCCGCGACCTCTGGCCTGACTTCCGTTTCCGGGTTTGGCGGGCGGCTTCCGGCGGCGTGACCAGTTTGTGCGAGGCCCGTGGTGCCGGAGCTGGAAGGGTCTGCGCTGGTGGCCGGTAACTGAGCGCGGGTGGGAATGGCCGGGTGTGGTTCCTCCGGCATTCGGCTTCGGGACTGAGGGGCGGCCTTTGTCTTGCGGCCGAGACCGGCGCCGGGCCTCACTTCAGCCCCGGTCCCACAGTTAAGGTCATTGAGCTGTCCCTCCCGGCCCTTGACCCGCTCCTGTGGGCGGGAGTCAGACGACGTGAGTTCTGTGCCATTTGGCGCGGATTGGCTGTCTGACCTTTGGACACGTCTTTTCGCTGACTACAGCTGTCTGATTTAGAAGGTCTTATTTAAATACCGTCGTATTGACAGTGACTGTGTGCTCCCTACGGGAACTGACCTAGCGTTAAACACTGTTGCCTGACACAGCGCTGAGCCCACTTAAATTCCTTCGAGTCACAAACCCTTTGAAAATCTAGTGAGAGCTATTGATCCCCCATCTCCCTAATACAGGCCCTCCCACCCCCATCCAAATACACACCAATGTTTGGGTAAGGGCAGTGTGGTTTACCATTTCAGGTATTTCCGAAATATTTCCTGAACCCATCCGTGGATCCCAGACCCTGGCAAGTACGTGTAGTAGGTGTTAAGTATTTATAGCATTAGATAGTAGGTGTTCAGTTAGTCATTTTTAAATGCATGAAACGCTGGCCATTTCATGGGAGGGAAGAAGATACCCTCTTAAAGTTTTAATCATTAGCCTTGGAAGTGTGTTACTCGCACCTAAGTCTCCCGTTAACTCTAGGAGAGAGGAATTATTTAATTTCCATTTTGAGATTTGGGAGAATTAACTTGCTTTAGGTCATTCAATCTGTGAGTGATGGAGGCTAATCTTCAAACCCCTATCTGTGTGAAACTCTCAAGCCCCATGTTCTTAGCCTCTAGCTAGAGGGAAAGAGAAATGTAGAAATGTATTTGAATGTCCTCCACTGCTTCTGTTGGTAACTGTCATACTGAGGAGATGGTTTTTATCAACATAGATGACTCTAAACCAAACATTGCATGTTGTGGAAATACTTTTTGTCTGTCTCCTTTTCTTCCATGATACCTGCTTTGTTTGGTTAATAATGACATGTTTTACAACTTTCACTCTATGCTCATATTCATTTATCCTTTTTAACTTTCGTTGATACTCCTCAGGTATGTTGACTGATTATGGCTGTATCATTTATGTTGCCTTATTCTGCCTGCCTTCCAAAGCAGATGTTTTTAATTATAGTTGAACTATAAGCAGGTGATATTGATACCTTTTTCTTTTCCGTACTTTTTTTAATTATTATTTTTTACTGATTTAAGTCCTATTTATTTTTTATTAAATCATAACTTTGTATATTGATGCATCTGTGGGGTTCAGGGTACTGATTCGATATACAAATGTGAAATGCTTACATTGAACTAAGTAACACATCCATCAAAATTATACTCATTTCTTTTTTTTTT